TAGTTTCTTAAGTTTATCAGTACCAGGCTCCTTGATCTGGCTCTGCCTGCCAATGACAAGCACCTGTTGAGATATTATCTCCCAGTTTACCACTCTGTCTTTTATTTCTTTGGGCCAATATTTTGGTAATTCTTGTTTATTCTTTCCTTTCCTTTGTTTCCTGTATGTAATCTGTGGGGAAGAACAGTTTGTTCCTTTGAAACATCTCTTGGATTCATTCCCTTCTTTTCATTTCCTCTGGGGCCACTCCAGTTCCAATCCTCGCAACTATCTGGCAGGACTTTATCTAGTTTAAACTACAGTTCAGCAGTGGTGCCTCAAAGGATTAGAGAGAAGCCAAGTGGACATGAGCAGGTTTCTACCCTCTCACTAACTTCAAACAAGTCAGTTAGATTTGTATCTGTTGTATATATTGGGGTTCTGTGAAGAGTTTTATTTAGGAAAAAAAAACCCTGTACTAAAGGAAAAATAAGTTTGAATATCAGCGTTCAAAGTTATTCTGCGTAACACTGCCAAACCAGCTCCTTAAAACACTTCTTGTTTTATAACTTCCCTGCTAAAGATCTTTATCAGATACTACCACTGTGTCTGACATTCAAATCTGTTTACATACTGGGAACGCGCTATGAGGATAACCATGTTTCCTACAATTATTCAACATCTGTGTTCTCACCATTCTAGTCAAGCCTCACTGGCCCCTCAACATTAATGGTCAGTATTGTTTCCAGGCCATTCCATATCTTTCCCTTGCTTCCTTTCTTTGCTTTGCCTATTCAAGTCCGATTTCTGCCTTATAGCTCAGCAGCTCAAGTCTAACCTCCTCCTTGAAAACTTCATCTATTCTAGGCCCAAAGGATCTCATTCCTTCACCACATTATACTGAATTTAGTGTCAGTATATACAAGTTAGGCAGCTAATTTTCTCATACTGTTTCACACGTTTGTTTTCTCAAGTAGATTTTAGGCCTATTGATGGCAGGGGTTTTATTAATATATTTTCTAGTGTGTTCCATTACAAGTGTTTGTGTACCACAAATAGCACATTAGCAATTGGTAAACAGGAGAATGATGTCAAAATAATGTGGAAGTCCAGTTGATACACATGTGAATTTTCTTAGCACTTTTTTTTGTTGTTGTTTAACTAAAATTTTATTGCATTGCCATAAGAACTGAGAAGTGATCAGGAACAAACTTCCTCATAATTAAGAAGTCTTAGCAATATACGAAGACTTTAAGAAAAAGTGAAGAATCTTGCACAAGGCGCTGCATTTAGTAAGTAATGACTAGTATAGTGGCTACAACCTCTAATTTTTCAACAACATTATCTGGTGAAGCCGTGAGTGCTGATACTGAAGCTGTGAAGACGTTTTGCCATGTGTTCTTAAAAAGTTGAGTACTCCTCAATTAGATTTTTAATTCTGATGAAAAGGGCATCTATTCAAAGTGAATGCCTTTGAGGACCCACGTCATGAAGGAGAAAGCACGAAGGCTACCAAGCACTGCTGACAGTGTTGCTGGGTACAAATGCCAGTAGGAATTTAACCTTGTGTTTTTATTAGGATGGTTATTGTTTTCACTAGTGCTCTGAACACAAAGTTGCATTGGGTTTAAGTGGTCTTCCTTAACCATATTTTTCCCATAAGCCCTGTTATCTTAGGTGTGTAATTTTGCAAAACAGGAGATTCTTCAGGAAAGATAATATGACATTATAGCAGAATGTCTGGCACTGTTTTTTTTAAATCTGCACGACATCTAGTTTGGTGTTAGTCACACTGTATATGCTTAGTAAATACCTGTTTACTCTTAGGCATCCTTTAATTCATAAATATTTTGGTGTGACCTTGGAGGTGGTTATTTCTCATTTTTTTTCAAATCCATGTTTCCTTTCACTTCTCCATGAATGACCCAGATGTTTAGAAGAAGACACACCACAGAAGGAAGACACAGAAACCAGAGGGTTATTATAAGGATGATCAGAAACCCTCTGGGGTAATGGATGGCTTTAAGGTCAGTTTGAAGAAAGACAGAGCCTGGCTTTTAAATGCTGATTGAGTGTTACCCTCATTATAGGCCAGAGGGAGAGACTCATGGTCATCAGGTCAAATGTACATTTTTGATACCCCAACTGATGGTGGTAGCCTCCTTTTTTCTTCAGCATCGGAAAAAAGATATCTCTCTATCCACCAGCCTAATTGTGTGTTCCAGGAAGGTAAAAATAAAGGAATGCAGGTACAGTGAGATCATCCCTAGGATTGTAATTGGTGAGGTGCTTGGTTCATAATCAATGGACAAAGCATCCTTGCCAGAGAGGAGTGGCTCCTTTCTTGCTTTAACTTCCAAGAGAGGCAAACAATCCTGATGCCTGAAGGAAGGGTTTTTGTTTGTTTGTTTTTAATTACTGTTTACATTAACTGGAGCAAATGCTGAAAAACAAACATCAAGAATTGAGACAGGGGCTGAGATAACCACAATAAAGCCAAATGTAAGCCATTATCAGGGACAGACTTCTTTACTTTATGCAGAAAAGATTATGGATATTTTACATGTACTTCTAACTGGATATCAAATGTAGCTTAGCCTGACCTGAGGATGGTGAAACCCAACCTTACATTTAAAATAATATCAATCCATTTTCAAGTCTATTTATACACACCGAACAGAAGTCATTCATATTACAATGCCCTCCCCTCTGCCTCCCCCACCCTTTAAAACAACACCAATGAAACTTACAAATAGGGGTCTTCATGATCTGGAACCACCTTATCTGTTCTGCTTCTTCTCTTGCCAACATCCATCCCCCCTAACTTCTTAACCACAGGGACTCTGCACATACTATCCTCTTTTCCTTTGCCGGAATGCTCTTCACTCTCCTTTTTTGCCTTGTAATTGCTCAGTACATTTTCATTTAATGTCTTTCCCAATAGCCTGAAAGCTCCATGGGAGCAAACCATGTCTGTCTTGTTCACCACTGTATCTGTGATGTCTATCTAGCATGGTACCTAACAGTAGGCTGTCAACAAATACTTACCGACTTTAATCAAATCTTTAAGATTCAGCTAAAACATCATCTTCTTTGGGAAGGTGTCCTTGAGCTTCTGATACTCTTTCTCTCTCCTGTGGTCCATGGGATTCCTGTTCATATCAGTTGTACTGGTAGTGCAATTCTTTAATAGTCTGTCTTTCCTAATAGACTCTGACGTTCTAAAGGGCAGAAACTGTGTCATCCTCATTCTTACAACTCACAGCACTCTGTGTATCACCTGGTATACTCTAAGGAGCTCAAGAAATGTCTACTGAGCAGATTATTGAGCAATGTTTGAGCTTGGAGGGCCCTCAGCTATGGTCCACACCTACATCTCTCAACAGGAATTACAAGAAAGCATTGGATAAATAGGTCACATCTTTCTGCAGCATCCATTTTTACTTAAAATTTCAGGAGGGGAGACATTTAGATAAATTAAATCATGTATGTGTGTGTAGTGAATTGAATTCAAAATATACTAAGTCGAACAGGAACTTCAATGAAGCAAATTTACCTTGGGGCTCCTTGTCCACCCTGTCTGGGGGACACATATTTCCTCTTCTGTGCTGTCCTCAGGCAGTTGACCACCTTAGTAGAGAAGTCACACCTGCATGATTATAAAGAAAGTTAATGACAATGACAAAGCTGGGATTAAAGCTGTTTTCAGATAGCTAATGTTTTCACTCTACTGCCCAAGTGAGTTGTCTCCTCACACCTATAGCATGGTCAAATTCATCCTAGTACACTCTAAATATGTTCAGATACAAATTTGATTCAGCATAGCTAAATTTATGTTGAAGGGGGGAATGGCGAAAGGAATCATAGGCTGAGGATATCTTCAGTAACAGGCATCTGGGCATGTTTATAGACTTGCTATCTAAATTTACATTACAGGTAGCTTCCTTGCATATGCGCTCCTATTCTATGATGGTGGTTCATTCAAATCCTGCCCAGCCCCTCTAATGTTTTCAGAGTGTACCTTTATTTTTAAAGGGTATCCTTTAAGGAGGATGGAAGAAATACAGCGTGGGCCTCTTCCTGAGGACAAAATGCTAGGTAAGACTCAAGGACTAAAGACTATAGTCCCAACAGTGCCCTGCTGCTGCTGCACAAAAACGCCTAGCATTTGTCTAGGGACTTATATTTTAAACAAAGCTTTGACACATATAATCTTATTCATTCCTCACAACAACTCTAAACGTAAACTAGTTCTGGAAAACTGGAAATAGCACTCAACTCAATTGTTAGCTCCATATAAGTGCTTTAGTTAAAGAGCCTAACAACTCCCCAGGGATTAAGGGGTGGGCAACTGCTGCTTCAACTACCAGGCCTGGGAATAAAGGAACCACTGTATTTCTTTGGTCACAACGCAATCAGGGCAACAGAAAGCACCTACTCTTTCCACTTTGACCCACACAGTCTGTCTAGGCAATTAATCAGCACTCCCCGCGGTTTTCCCATAGGATGCCAGTAGCTGTCCTTGCCAATCAAATGTTCCCACAGATGGAGCAGGACCACACCCCGAGAGGCTTGTGGGAGGAAAGGTGCTCTGGCCTACAAGAGTGAAGGCGGATACTCAGGCCGACCAGCCAGTGAAACTCACATATGTAGCCTCCCCGGCCTCAGTTTCCTCATCTCTAAAATGGGCTACTCCTCCTGTCTCTAGACTAGTTCCCTCCCTTTTCACGCCAGACCACCAGGAAGTGAAATCAGTGCTTAACCGCAGTTGAAAGTCCTCTGTTAGGCTCCAGTCGCTGCGCCGGGCATGCTCAGTAGCTGGGACCGGCTCGGCTCCCAGAGTAGGAAGCAGCTTTCCGCGCCCCGGCGGCCGACTGCGGGCACTTTGATGAATCACGTGTGTTGAGGCCCTCTTAAAGAGATAGGTACCTAATTTCCCTCCACCCTAAACACCGCCCTGAGGGCGGCGGCGGCGGCGACTGTGGTAATTGCAACTGCTCAGGGGCAGGGCTTGCCCCAGTGCCGTGTAGTGGCAACAGCGTGGTTGCGTCGGGGGTGCTTGGGAGCCGGGAATCCCGGGGGCCTGAAATCGGCAGCTCCCCGGGCAGACACACTCTCCCTGTGGAAGAGGCGCTGCCGAATCGGCGCGGGGCAGCGTGAGCGTCCCGAGGGGCTTCCTCAGCTGAGGAGAGGTGGGGTTACAGGGCACAGGTGACGGGGCCGGAGAAAGATGGAGCAGCCCGGGGCGGCGGCGTCGGGAGCGGGAGGCGGCAGCGAGGAACCCGGTGGGGGCCGGAGCAACAAGCGGAGCGCTGGGAACCGGGCCGCCAACGAAGAGGAAACGAAAAACAAACCCAAATTGGTGAGTGCTCCCGCAACCCCCGCCGGCCTTGGGGACAGGGAAAGCCCCGGGATCCTCCTGCCGTTGAACACGGGGGCACCCGGGGCCCCTTTCCAAGGGTGACCGCGACCTCGCTGTGCAACTCGGGGAGCCGCTAAAGGAGCGGCCACGCCGAGGCGCGCAGACGGCGTGGGGGCGGAAGAGCACCCTCTTCCCCACTTAACCCCTTTCTCGCTCTTGTCAGCCCGGGAGGCAGTGCGGGAAGGAGAAAGGCCCCACCCCAACTTGGGGAGACCCCGAGTACTGGGTAGGGCTGTTGTTTGTCTAACTTGTGGGCGCGAACCTCCTTCACGCGATTCCATTCCCCTCCCACCTCTTGTCAGTTGCTGTTTTGCCTCCTAACACTTAGGGTCCGGGCAGGGAAACCTCTCTCCTTTTCATTCCAAGTACTTGGGAGCCCACGCACAGCCTTGCAAGTCAAGAAAAACACAACGTAGGCCCCCGATCTTTCTACTTTACCAGAAATCTAGGGGAGAGGCGCCTACGTGCGTTCCCCGCCCCCCGCCCGTCTCTCCATGTGCTCTCCCAAGAAACGTTTCTTTGGAAGGGTGGTGGGAGCGTGGGAGTTGGAGGCTGGGTGAGGTACCACCAACTGTCGTGTGTGTGTGTGTGTGTGTGTGTGTGTGTGTGTGTGTGTAATAGCCATAGTCATACAGTACTTCCACTTAGTTAAGAACGCTCAAAAGCAGCCAGCAGACTGTCCAAGTCCCAGAGTCCTGACACTGAACCAGTGGTAGCAGTCCATTTCCTGCCACTGAATGTGCAGAGGAATGAAATCTATGAGGCCTGGTATTGCATTGGGAAATACTGGAGTTTCCTCAACTCATCAGTTAGAAGGGTTCCGCTTTTTGTAAACTTTCTAATTTGGGCGGCATAAGGGGAAGGGGTTTTCTTTCACAAATTCAGCAAATAACTCCTTAGAGCTGAAGATTCTTAGTCTAGATCTGAAGCACAAGCCACACGTTGCACATGTAAGGTCTCAGTTTTAACCAGCAAGTTGATTATAATACAGAAGGAGACGGTGACATGAATATAGCCATTTTTCTGGCATATGGCCATTTGGTATGGACCTGTTGTACTGCTCTCTTAGCTCCTATTTGCCTTTCAATTATGGACTGTTCATATTGGAAAACAGTGGTCAAAGTGTTGTCATTTTAGGAAATAATGCAGCCTTCCATTATGTGGGAAGGGACCTGGTGGGTAGATTGAACTGACAAGTTTCAAGCCTAATCAGTTCCACTGTAACTTGAGGAAAATCAAGAACTTGCTTACTTGATGTGTCCTGTTACCCCAGTATTTACCAATGAAGAAAGTCAGTTAGGGGCTCAGGTGCCTGCACCGTCATGAAACTTAGAAAAGTTTTGTATGTCACCAAAGTTTAATATATTTAAAAATTCTGATGTGATTTTGAAATTTACCAGTTTGCAGTAAAAGAGTGATCATATTTCCTTTTTTTTTATGGACCCCGTACAAACCTGTGGCTTAATCAGTGATTAAAAGTTTAAGTAAAAAGTTAACTGATAGTTTCCACAAATAGTTTGGTACATCTCGCAAGAATCTAGTATGCTTTTGAGAAAAAACACTTACCTCTCGTAATATTATAATAACACCTTGATTATATTCTTCCCTTCCCTTTGACCATTTGTCCCGTTTCATCTTTATATTTTACTTGCTTTGACAAGGTAACAGGATAGTTAATGAGATGGTATCACTTTCAGTTCCTAGCTAACTTCACTGTTCCGTGTTGAACATAGCTTGATATAGTATAACAAGTATTTGAATCCAAGAATTTCTTAATATCAACATGAATTTTCTTTTTTGCTCAAACATAACTTTTGGGCTTTACATGATTTTACATGATGTGTCAGAGTTAATAAAAACAAATTTAGGAAGACATTATAGCACATTTTCAGGCAAGCAAGTTGACCAAACAGTAAGACTTGATAAACTTTTCAGGAAAGGGTTCATCAGGAATTCTCAAAATTTTGCTTGTAAGATAAAACTATACTTAGACTAAATTTTATTATTTTGAGTATTAATAATCACTACAATAGTCCTTTATTTTATGTGTGTTTGTAAAGGAGTTGTGGTGTGGGATTACAAAAGAGATACGGTTGTAGAAATTATTTGTATAGGTGATTGTGGGGGATAGGGGTTCTTAAACCTCTGAAATTGTATGAAAATATTTGAGTATATGTAGGTACATTCAATTTTCTGGGCCCCATAGCTTTTATCAGTTTCTCAAAGGCATTCATCACCTATAGAAGAGTAAGAACTATTGCATTACCAAAGATAGTAAAGAAAATGACAGTTGATTCCACTCTGAGTTACTGGGGAGGGGAAATGGCGCTGACCACATGGGTGATTGATATTGAAGATAATTCAGGGGGTAAAAAGAAGTTATCTACATGGTGTCTATATAGTATTAGCTAAGGTTAAAGTTTCCATTACATAGAAAAGTTAACTCAGTTTCTCTAGTGGATTCATAAAGTTTAAGGTTTGTGATTCAGTTATTTTCATGTAGTTCCTCATGATTGTGGAAAAACGGAGATGGAAAGCATATTTTCTTATAAAGAGGAACTACTTTCATTTATATTCTAAACTTTTTGATGCGCGTTAGAATTTTTTCAGAGTGGCATTTCAGGACTTTAATGACTTCTGTTTAAGATTAATTAAATAAAAATTTAATGAGATTCAGTTCAGTTTTCTTCATATATGCATCCTTATAATGACACTTTTATTTTGATTCTTTTTTAAGAAGGCATTCCTGTGTTGGACTCATCACATTTTAAATAATGCATTCGTACTAGAGTTTTGGATTTTGTGTAACTATCTGGTTAGACCAAGATTGTAGCATGTCATCAAACAGCATGAATCTTAGACTAATTAGTAATTTGATGTCAACCATGGAATGTATTTTGCTGAGTAGGAGAGAAAGCTCTGGAAGTGTTATGAAGGAGATGCATCTTGAATCCCACATATTTAAGGTGGTGATTTCACCGTTAAGAGAGGCCATTGTTAAGGTAGAACTAATGCCCCCCCTCTCTCTTTCTGACTAACACACACAATGGTGTAGAATGACTTGATGGTATTTGATGTTTTTGCACTTTGACTTTGTGTTTCTGTATAATTTCTGAAGTCTTTGGCTTTTTAGACAGTGGAGTCAAATTAGTAACTTGAAATAACAGAAGTTAATTTTCTGGTTATTATATAACAGCCTGAGTATTTGGTTATTTGTTTATAATTGGATAAATCATGTTTGATTTTAAATGACAATGTATGAGCACAGTGATTTCATTTATGCAACACACGTTTACTGCATACCTGTTACGTGCTAGGCATTATTCTAAGGGTTGGTGACGTGAAGATGCTCATAGTCTAGTAAGACAGACAGGGTAGTTAATTGACGATTAAAGCACCGTATGATAAATTATGATAGGAATATGCATAGGTGAGTGCTATAAAAAGGTCATGGAGAAGCATCTAAATAGCATCGGATGCTTGAGCATGGTAAGGAAAGGCTTATCATAGTAGGTGACTTGAAGAATAGGGCATTAATCGAAGAAGGGAAAGGAAAGACATTCTAGGTTGAAAGAACAACATATACAAAGGTACACAGATACCCAATATGGCTGAAACAAAGGGTACACATGGTAGACCTGTATGTTTCAACTTCTTTCTGAAAATAGAGGAAAACCATTGAAGAGATTAAAGCAGGAGAGTGACCTGATCAGATCTATGTTTCAGAAAGCAACTTAGTACTTTGCAGAATTTCTTGGAGAGGGGTGCCAGAATGGAGGCAGGAAGACCAGTTAGGAGGAGTGGAGTGGCACAAGAGTTTGATGTTTATGGTTATACCTGGATTCCAGTTGCAACTTACCTGCTCATCCATTTACCAGCTCATCCATTTACTAGGCATATTTCTCTGTTCCTGTTTCCTTCTGCCACCTCCATTGGCTCTCCTTCCTGCCACCCACCCTGAACATCCTCACCAAATTTGAAATGTCCATCCTGTTTCTCTTTTATAAATCTCACCCTCTTTCACAGCCCTGCTCATGTCTCAATATTCTCTTTCTTCCATTAAACCTTCACTGATTACTTCAGCTTACTGAGGGCTCTTCCTTCTTCTGAACTCATAACCCTCCTGAATCTGAATGTTACATGCTGATCTTGTCTCTGCAAAGATTTTAAAGTGCCTCTAGGCAAGGGTCCCATTGTATGCCTGTTCTTGAAAACCTGGCAGGCCAGTGCTTGGGTGCAAAACTACTCGGTAAATAGTTATTAGCTGGGGATTTTTTTCCCTATAGGCCAGACATTTTGAGAGTGTAAATTGTTGAAAAGACGCTTTTTTTTAAAAAAATAAATGTTTACTTTTATGTGCCTTTTTTTTCTTAGTATATTTACTTCATCAAATTAACCTATCTGTACATTCTTCTTGTGTCTTTTCTCTAATTTTGAAGTTCAGGAAACTTATTCAGGGCCGTGAGAACTCCCCTACCCCCCTTGTTTGAATTCTTGTGAGTCAGGGCCTGAACTTCCATGCAAAAAAACAATACCAAAACTGATGAGCCAAGTTACATTTTACTGTTATTAGTAGGAAACTTCAGATTATTGACAAAAGAGTATGGACTGGAGAGCCAAAGGACCTGGGTTCCAGGGTCTGTTCTATCTTTTATTTGCTTGTGATCTCTGATGAGCCATTTGACATCATAAGTTTGAGCTCTTTGATTAATGTCTGCCAATTGGAGTTAACGTTGTCTTCCTGATTTGCTTCGCAAGGTGATTTAGATAAAATACAGTAATGAGAAAGCATTAGGAAATTCTATATGGTTATATATAGAGCATTATTTTTAACCCCTCATATTACCTGAATCAAATGTGATTGTGGTTGGATGGTTTGATGGCCTTCTTGCAATTTGATAGCTCTGACATTATTGTTATATAAAGTATCATAATGTGGT